TATCTCTTATGCTGAAAGTGTTTTTTTGTGTGGTTATACTTATGTAGACTAAGTAGAAGGGATAGCTGCAAGATTATGAGAAGCATGTGTTACAGGATGGTGGGAGGAAGGAGTAACTGAGTCAAATTAATAAGTATTATTGAGTGCCTCATATGTGTGAATAGGCATTGATACATCCCAGGCCCTGTTGTTCCAAAACAAATCATGTGTCCATTCTGGTCTGTTCACAGGTGATCATGGAGGAAGCACTTTACTCCCACCGAATGTCACAAATGAGTTTCCAGAATATGGGACCATGGAGGAAGGTGGAGAAGGCCTTAGAGCTTCTCTAGAATTTGATGGTGAGTCTCTGCCATGCCACTCACAAGGGCAGCAGGGGGTCCAGCTTTCCACTGGCCACTACTCTGGACTTGACAGTGTTACAGAAGGACCAAAAGATGTCAGAGAGGCCCCCTCTCAAAGTCACCTCAAAGAACCAAGTTTACAGCCCATTGACTCTTTGATTTCTGCTCTGAAAGCCACAGAGGCGAGAATAGCATCAGGAACATTACAGGCTGCAAAGGTACTGGACAAAGATGTTGTTTCTAGTTTTTCACTTCAACAGGTGGAAAAAGAGTTAGGCATTGCCAGTTGTAAAACACAGAGAGCCAACAAACCACTCCCTGCTGGCCAAGAAAAACCACCAGGCATACCTCTTTCAGCTGAAGTAACAACTGAGGAAAATCTTTATTTGAGCATCCAGAAGGATCTGACTGCCCTGCTATCTGGAGATACTCAGGCACAACTTCCCCAGCGAAATGGAGAGAAAGGGGATGATGGGAGAAAAGGGGCTTTGTGTTTGCGGGAGCCAGATTGTCCTGTGTCCTCCTTGGGGAGCCCAGCAGTGACCCACAACTCTGTGAGCAGCACTGGTTTTTTGAAAGAGCAGAGGTCTGCTCTCGGCAGAGAGTACCCAGTGGGATGTGATCGAGGCAGCTCTCTGGGACGCACAGGACGGATCAAACATGTGGAATTTCAAGGGGTAGAGATACTGTGGACGGGAAGAGAAAGGAGAGAGCATAAAACCCAGCATACCGTAGGTTTCGAGACATCACTGGAAAGAACAGCCTCTACAGAAAGCAAAGAGTTTTCCAAAGTGCCAAGCCATCTCATGTCATCTGCTGGTTTGTGTAATTCAATTAATTTAACTGAGAGTGTTTGGGATGGATCCTGGAAAACTCCTTCAGAGAGGCCTGGCACTAGCTCAGGGGCATATTCCCCTGTGCGTCTTGATGAGAGTGGAGAGGATGAAGTCTTCCTGAAGGAAAACAAACAACATCTTGACAAAAAACCTGAACCAGAGAGAGAAAAAGAAAGGTGAGCTCCCAGAGTACCCCACTGTTTGTGATGCTTATTATATATGAGAGAAAGCTGTTTCTAGTATTTGGTATGAGAACTCAGCTCATAGTACACTGGGTCCTTGTTATCATAGAATGGAAGAGAAGTTACCATAAGCTAACACCTTCTAAGCTAAAATTCCTTTTAAGTTTCTGAGATATTAAAGTGATCTAGTTACAAAGTTATCCATTAGGCTTGGGCCAGGGAAAGAGTTCTGAAGAGACT